TTTCATTTTCATTTAGGTAACAGCTATGAGCTAACCATAACTTTGTGTCATGTATATAATAATAATATCTTGTTGATTAGTGCAAACTATCATGTACTTATGGTAAATCCAGAACAGTTAATTGCATAGAAGCAAAACATTAAAAAAGGAATTTCCAGTAAAGGAAATGGTGAGGAGTTTCACATATTAAACCAGGTTTTGCATAAGTACATATCATAAACTTATTCTCTTACATAATGCAAAAACCATTGAGAAATGAAGATATGATCGAAGGACAGGGTTATGTCACAGTGTGACAGAAGCTAACAAGTCATTCAGTGAAGCTTACAACAGATCATATTCGTTGGGATAGCCTAAAGATTTCACCTTCACAGGAATTTGAAGATCACATTTAAAAAAACTTGATGAAAGCTAGCCGCAAGGTTTTGGACGACTGGGATTCCTATTGAAATACACATCAGACACTGAATTCAAGAAACTTACAAAGTAAAGTTGGAAAGAAAAATCCTTTTGGTTTGAGCCATTGCCTGATGTGAAACAGAAAAAAGACAAGGCCGGGAATGAATTTTACTATTCTTTGGAGCCATTCAAGCACATTGTTGAGAAGGCTGAGTTGTGATAAAGAGATTGGATTGTGCTGGTCTGGTAACAGACCTATCATCAAATTTGATTTTCAGTTGTGTATTCACCAAGGTTGGAACTACACAACATTAGCCTTTGAGAGGTAAGTTGATTTATCACAAAAGATTTTAGGCCACAATACACATATTGTACACATGTCAGGCAATGTCAGGATGATTAGAAAGCAAAGAACCATGCCGCCATAATTTTTAATATTTACTTGAAGAAGCCGTATCAATGTATTCTTTGATTAAAATTTAGTACTTGACATTGATTTTGAGAATTTGAGCAGTGTTTCTGTGGCTAAATAATGAATTTTCAAACTCTTCTCTTCCGTGTAACAAACTTAATTGTGGGTATAATCCAAAATTTTATATAAAAATAGGTAAGAGGCGATTGTCTGATTTCGATTCGTATTCGGATTTAAGTGAAAACTGTGGTCGTAGTTTGCTTACGTTAGTCTCTTCTCACAATTAATTGAGATGCGTGTACCTTACTCATTGATTAAGAAAAATAACGTAAAAGTAAATATTAACTAGAACCGCTAACCGCAATCAGAGAGTCTTAAAACCCCCATACGGCCTAAACAAGTTTTATTTGGAAAAATATTTCTCAACTATCTTATTGAAAAATTAAAGCCTATCATTCATAATATACTAATACATAGTATAATTCTAATAACAATGCCAAATAATTAGTAAAAAACGTTCAAATGGATAAAATAGCAGCATAGAACCGGTAACAGCAGTCGAGAGTCTTAAAACCCGCCCCATAAACTTTCGCTTGTATTGTCATGGATATAAGAGCAGCTGCTAAGCCTACCATACACGAGATTAGAGAAGGAATATGGAAAACATGCTAAAACGGGTCATCAGCTCCTCAGGAGATCCGAACCGTGCCCCATCTGTCTCGGACCCATGGTTCAAGACTCCTATCTTGATAAATGCTACCGTATGTTCACTCAACTCTTTGTTTTTGACATTTTCATGAGTTGGGTTTCTCCAAAACACAAATTAGAAAGCTCTTTATGTCGAAACAGTGGAAGATATCGCTTATGTATTCATTAAATTTGTTTATTGTTAAAGTGAAGATTTTATATGAATCGAAGAGAAATTAATTGCGGCAAAATGAATTTAACGTTAAAGATGAGATTTTAATTTGTTGACATTCTTGTTTCGATAACGTACTGGAATTGTGCTCGCAATTGACATTGTTGTACTTTGCGTTATTTACTTGTTTATCTATTTTTTTTTTTGGGGGATTACATCTGTGAAGTTAAGTGTGATTTCAGATTTTTATTTTGAAAAATATTCGCCTGCATGTGCATTTAGTTACAAGTTAAATATAGGTGAGAAGAAGTGGATTTTATCGGTTTTGATCATCCGTGAAGGCTTTGGATTTGCATTGCTGTGGTGCAGATAATTTTGTTATAACGTATTTGTACAATGGACTAAAGTGGTTGCTAGCAGCATTCGAGCCTGCTTTCTTCGGTAAAGTGTCCTTTATGCAAGGTTAGTGTTTGTAGCATCTTCACGACATCTGCTAATATGATTTCTAGTTGGGTGGGCTGGCAAGCCGTGACAAGATGTAAATTTGAAAAGTTTTACTGATTATGCTATGTTTATACCAATCAACTGAGAAACTTTCAATCATCTATGGATACAACGGACTCATTTTCAAAGGCATTATATTGGTCAAATTTCTGGGGATAGGTAACCCTTTTCTTCAAAATTTTCTTTACATGTCATTATGTCTTATTTTACTCTTTTACTTCTGCTTGCAGGTTTTCTTTTCAAAACCCATAAGTATAGACTGCAATGCTATTACACAGAATCAGGTCTTAAGCAGTGTTTTATTGATTCTTTGACTTCAAATTTCATGCTGTCATTTTGCTATTTTATCTTCTGACAAATCACTGGTATCCCGTATATGTTTTTCAGTCAATTATGTGTTCAATCAGGTATCTTAAATGACATATCAATGTTTCTCGGTACTGGAAGTCTGGTAAGTATCTTCAGTCAAATCAGTGGCTGCATGGTTGGTTGAGAGGAAATCCAAGCTCTGATGCAGGTATGATGTTCATGAGCTCATTTGGTTTGCAATTTTCTTGCCCTTAGTTACTTAGAGCATGGTTGGACATCCATTAAAAGTGAATTTTCTCTATTAGCCCTAGAGCAAATCCACTGAAACTAAAAGGAGATTCCCTAATAGCAGTGCCAAATATTGGTTTATACTTTTACTTGAACCATCCTTCTTATTACTAAAGCATTGTTTTGTGATCATGCACCTATATCTCAAATATTATTTCCATTGAGGGAGTTTGTCCCCACATAAATGGAAGACGCTGAGATTTATTTTGTTTCATAAATTTTCTTTTCTTGAAGCTCATCTAGCTTGCGATTATTATACCTTTTTCTTATTTTCAAGAGGAATAAACCCATAAGTTGGTGATGCTTTAATGTTTATCTCATTTACCTTTAGAAGAAGCCTACGTTCTTTTTCCGAATTGAGGAAAACGGTTTGACATATTTATTGTCTGAATTGCTCTGGAACATAAGCTGCTTGCTTTTCTTGTTGAATTCAGATTATGAACCTACTTCATAGGGATACAAGATTCTGGAACATTTTGATCTGTTTTGTCGTGAGATAAGATAATTGACTAGATTTTTGGAGAACATATTGAAAGTTCCTGTTGTTGACCGTAAATTTTTAGCATTTTGGAGCTGCATCTAATAGCATTGGCATATTCTGTCTTTAATTTGTTTTTCACCAGAACAGACAGATTTTTAGTCTTCTGTGTCTCTTTTGGACTATGAAACAAAACTTTTGGTATTGGCAAGTTTAGGACCGCCTATATTATGGATATGTCTATAATTGTGCTGTTTACAGGATCTGGCCATGCATTTACCTCTTGCAAACTAGTTATATGTTATATCACTAGTAAATTGCTCTACATTTTGTTGACTATTGAAGACTGGTTTGCTTGCTTTTTTATAGGAGAAAGATGTTGAAATTGTTGTGCATCACATAGTTGGTGTGGTTGATTCATTTTTGAGGAGGTAATATTCAGTGTTGCTTGCATCTTAAATTTATGGTAATTGATTTGAATTTCTGTCAATTGAAACCCCGTTTTTTGTTTCATTTTTTTGGTTATGTATGATGAACTTGTAATTCAACTTACCCAAATTTGCTATGATTTCAGAAACGAGCATATGCGCACAATTAAAAAACCTGAAGCAAAACAAGAAGATTTTAAGGCTCTAGTCTCTGATGCGGCAAGACCTTTTCTAACGGCAAGAACAGATCGATTTGTGAACGAGATGGAACTTTTTCTTGCTTCTGGGTTGAACATTGAAGCCTATGATGCAGTCTACATGCAACGGTTTGGGTTGGAACACTCCAGAGTCTATCGAGTCCACGGAAAGGGAATCCGTGGGCAGGCCCCTGTAATAGTCCCCATACTTTGTATACTTTGATGAGGATTCGGATGGAACTGATTGAATGTTTCTTGCTATTTCTGAAGTTTGTATTGACTTCCATTTTATTTGATACTTGTTGCCAGTTCTTGATATTTGAAGTCAGAAGAGGATCCTTGCCTTGATCAATTGAGCCAGGTCCCATGGTTAACTGAGTTTTCCATTCAATAGCTTGAGTTGTGAAGAAGACTATGATCTTTTTGAGGTTCCTAATTTCAGTTTCCTTTCACTCAACTGGATTAAAATTTTGAAGTTGTGAAAGCATCTAGTAATTCTTTTTCATGTCATATTGTGGTAGGTGACAAGTCTTCTATTTTAGGTTGTGTTTGAGAGGTGGGATTATGGTGGAAATTTGGAGTTGGACTATTTTTTCCCATGTTTGGGTATATTTTAGGAGATTGAGATTGGATGTACCCCAGTCTCCTTTATTATCCCAAATCGATGGGATAAGAAATCCCATGGGAAGCCACAAGATTTCTTATGGGACAACATTTTTTGTGCTTTTAGTAATTATACTCGTTTAAGTTTATATATGATTTAAATTAAAATTAAATATTATTATTTAAGCTAATAATATTTTTTTAATTAATATATATTTAAAAATATATTAGTAAAAATATTTTAAATTTTTAATTAACTTTTATACACAATATATTTTATATTTAAAATTATAGATATTATATTGAATGATAATAAATGCGTTCATAAGGAGTGTAAAAAACTTAAGTCACGTTATTCTAACCCTTAAATAATATATTTGTTCCATTCAAGTTTTCTTATAATTAATTACTATATAAATATCACAATTTATTAACATAAATAATTTAAATTCTGCAAATTGCACGGGCTTCAGAAAATTTCAAGGATTGACTATTGAAGACTGGTTTGCTTGCTTTTTTATAGGAGGAAGATGTTGAAATTGTTGTGCATCACATAGTTGGTGTGGTTGATTCATTTTTGAGGAGGTAATATTCAGTGTTGCTTGCATCTTAAATTTATGGTAATTGATTTGAAATTTCTATCAATTGAAACACCGTTTTTGTTTTCAGTTTTTTGGTTATGTATGATTACTTGTAATTTAACTTACCCAAATTTGCTATGATTTCCAGAAACGAGCGTATGCGGCGAGTAGAAAAACCTGAAGCAAAACAAGAAGACTTTAAGGCTCTAGTCTCTGATGCGGCAAGACCTTTTCTAATGGCTAGAACAGATCGATTTGTTAACGAGATGGAACTTTTTCTTGCTTCTGGGTTGAACATTGAAGCCTATGATGCAGTCTACATGCAACGGTTGGGTTGGAACACTCCTAGAGTAACTATCGAGTCCACGGAAAGGGAATCCAGTGGGCTGGCCCCTGTAACAGTCCCATACTTGTATATCTTTGATGAGGATTCAGATGGAACTGATTGAATGTTTTCTTGCTATTTCTAGAGTTTGTATTGACTTCCATTATTATGAATTGATACTTTGTTGCCAGTTCTTGATATTTGAAGTCAGAAGAGGATCCCTGCCTTGAATCAATTGGGCCAAGGTCCCATGGTTAACTGAGTTTTCCATTCAATAGCTTGAGTTGTGAAGAAGACTTATGATCTTTTTGAGGTTCCTAATTTCAGTTTCCTTTCGCTCAACTGGATTTAAATTTTTAAGTTGTGAAAATGCATCTAGTAATTTGTTTTTCATGTCATATTATGGTAGGTGATAGGTCTTCTATTTTAGTTATGTTTGAGAGGTGGGATTATGGGGTGGAAATTTGGGATTGGACTATTTTTTCCCATGTTTGGGTATATTTTAGGAGATTGAGATTGGATGTATCCCAATCTCCTATATTTATCCCAAATCAATGGGATAAGAAATCCCATGGGAAGCTTTTTTGCTTTTAGTAATTATATTATAAATTATACTCATTAAATTTATAAATGTTTGAAAATTAAAATTAAAATATTATTCAAATGAACAAAGACTTTCTGCCGCCATCCAATGGCGAGTAGCCAGTAGCCACAAAGTCACCATATGTCTTGCGGTCCATGCATGCTTGTTGGCTGAAAGAAGTTTTATTGGCGGGATGTCTACCTCTACAACGACTTCGCTGTTTATGATAACATCAAGGATAAAGCTGAGCTAACCATATACTGTGAGAACAATGGCAGTGGAAGTGATGGCGAGAGACACAGATTATGGAGCTTTCGTCAAAAAATTTATTCTCCAGCCAGTAAGTAAGTACCTTTCTGTTCTAAATTCAATGAATTCCGTTGGATTCTGATCTTCTGACCATATCAGTAAGATAAGTAGAAACATGAGTATTTGAATTTTGAAGTATCTTTGTTGTAAGTTCATAGGATCGTTTCAGCTTATGTGTTTCGCTCTGTCTTGCTTAAGTTGATGTGAGACAATGAGAGTGTTGAATTGTTTAAGAACTTCAGCTCTTTAGTTTCATTTGTGTTCCTGTCACAGTTTGTGCTTTACAATAGATACGACTAATTCCATACTGATGTATTGATCTTGGCTGTTTTTTTTTTCTTTTAAATTGTTTTTGGTTGTATTGGATTATTATTATTATTATTATTATTTTTAAATTTGTATGCAGATTTGATGTGGAAGGATATGTAACTGGATTTGGACATCCTGAACGGGCGAGGACTCATTCGGCAGCCACGTCAACGGCTCCGGCTGTTTTGGCTGTCTTGAGGGGAGGTGCCACATGTATTGGTAAAACTGTCATGGATGAAATGGCATGCAGGTTGGAGTTCTTTTAACCAATGTATTGGTTTTAGGTTGTTAGTTATTCTTTGTGTTACTCTTTTGAAATAGTAGGAAACAAGTTCACTAATTGTCAATTCATAATCAATGGATGGTTTGAGACTCCTCCTATAGGTAATTAATCTTTGAATGTTAATTTTCTAATTACTGATTAAACAATGAATAATCGTATGGCAGTATAAATGGAGAAAATATACATTATGGAACACCCACAAATCTGTGTGCACCTGACCGGATACCTGGAGGATCTTCTAGTGGATCAGCTATTGCTGTAGGTGCAAAGCTCTTAGATTTTTCCTTGGGTCAGTATTTCTGTCTTATAGGTCCTTATGTTTCTCGGCTTGTCCATATCAGTTTTTAAGTGAAAAACTGATCTCCGCTACAGGCACTGACACTGGAGGAAGTGTAAGAGTACCTGCATCATATTGTGGAATTTATGGGTTTCGGCCTTCAAGTGGTGCTGTTTCTACTGCTGGAGTAATTCCTATGTCACAGTTTTTTGATACTGTAGGTAAGTAATTTGTATGTGACTAACCTACTTCGAGTACATGGTGTATAACATCTTTAAAAATGCATTTTGAAATTGCTTCTGTAGTAAGGAAGCTTTATGTTTAATTTAAATAATAATACCAGTGTGCTTTACCAAATGGACCAACTGGTTATTATCTAAAATATTGTGATTTCTCTTCTTCCACAAATTTTGTTTTGTCCATGGCATGGATAATTTATAGTTGTTTTAGAAAACTTAATAAATTTCTATCACTTTTTTAATTTGGTGACGCATTCTTTTGACACCAAGTTTTCATCTAGGATGGTTTGCTAGGGATCCTACAATCTTGAAGCAAGTTGGTCATGTTCTGCTGGAGTCATCTGATACGCCTCATGTCAGACCTGGTCAGGTGATTGTCGCTGAAGATTGAGTACGACTTTCAAGCATTCCAAGTGGTCGGACAACTCAAGTTCTTCTTAAAGCAGTGGAGAAACTGTTTGGGGGTAGGTATATTTACCATATGGCTCTGTTACTAGTCATGTTCTACTGGACCTTTCGAATTTATTGAAGGTGTGGTAATGATAAGATTTCCATTAACTTGTTTGATTAGGCTGTTATATCTGATGATAAAATTAGTAACTAATTACTTTTGAGCACGATACCACTTAATGTGTTCGGTGATGCAGGTCATATTAGTAAGAATGTAATTCTTGTGGACTATGTCAAGACAAGTTCCAAGTTTGAAGAACTTTCATTGTGAAGGAAATATGATCAAGAGACTATAGCCATCCTTTATGCAGCCGCTTTCAAGACCATGAGGTTGCTACAAGGTGCAGAGCGTCAAAATAATTTCATAAAATCTTAAGTGATTCACATGACCTGTAGTACCTTTTGATTAATCTTTGGCTGAATTTTATTACCATTGATGCATAGGTATGAAGTCAAGAGAACCATGGGACTGGTGACTACAGTAAACCTGAATTTGGTCCAGAATACATGAACAGGTATGGGAAGGCATGAGAACATCACCAATAACATTGATGCAGTCAGTATCTATGAGGACGGATTACTGCTGCTCTTACTGCTCTTCTTGGGACTTTTTCTTTCTCTCAATGCAGCACAAGTCAAAGATTCTCTTTGTTCAAAGCTTGATTAATCCCATACTTATATTAACCTGGCATTAAATCTCATAATAGTTTTTTAAATAGTTTCTGTTAGATAACTGTACTTAACAAACGATTATAACGTGTTACTAAGGAATATGATATAATGTTTCGCATGTTAGTTGCAGAGATATAATTGGGGTAATCCAATAAGCCCTAATCCGCGTTACTATAGGCACAAGACACTCATATAATTACCATTATACCCCGAAGATACGTTTTCATTGAAGATCATAAGTTCTGCTGTGAAGTTTTTCCTCTTGTGTTAGATGCTTTCTGTATGCATTCTCTAATTCAGGTATAGATCCACATGATTACACTGCATAATATCATTTAGCCTTTCATTGGTCATTGTGAAAGCCCTTTCATTTTGAACTTAGGATTTGTTGTAAAAGTATGTACATCTTGCTGCAAAGAAGAGAATTGGGTGTGTCTCATGCAATAAATTTTGGCAGCCACCATTCTCTCAAATAATTTTACCTTATCCAATTTAAAAATTACTCATCTGAATTATATTCTATCAGATAGTGTATCTTTGTTTACCCTACAGTTCGAGGTCCCCCACCGAACCTAAAATGGATGCGCTGCATCTGAAGTTGATATGGCCAAGGGCTTTTTAGCGTGCTTCTGCATTGCTGGAGTGTCTGGGTTCTGTCAGTTCTCTCTGTCATGCACATTCTAATTTAGTTTCTACTAAGACCATTTAATTTTATACTTTTCTAATGATCTTCTCCGGGAATTTGTTTTATTTACGGTGAGCATCCCCCTAGGATGTATGATAACTTCCCTGTCATTTCCTGGGTGGCGAAACATGGTTCAGACGGATTCTTGCTCACCTTGTCAGTACTCTTCATGACACCCTCAAAAAGAGATCCAAGTTGCCGAAAGAACCAGTACTAAACTAAAGGCTGTTTCCAATAATTTTCTGTAAGTTTCTTATCTTCTTAAGATGAAAAATCGGCATAGAGTCTATTCTATTTCACTTTTTCTCTTCATAACACCTTCTTTTAAACTCTCTTTCTGCAGGTGCCCATGGAGGCTTGTATACCCAAAATAAAATGCAAGAATGTTGAAATGTACTGGTTCAGGGGCCCGTATTCTCTTCATTTCCTACATCAATTCGGAATACAAGATCTTAAGACCATTTGTCCCTGTTCAGCTGTTCTTAATGTAAATAGATAGTCCAGTATTTTCCTCTCATGAGAAAAATAGTTGGAAATTCAAGGTCTTAAGACCATTTGTCCCTGCTCAGCTGTTCTTAATGTAAATAGATATGTCAATATGGAGGAAGATATCCGTTATATATATGATTATGAAGATCTATAATGATATATTCTTAGTTAATATCGTCTACAAAAGGACTCTACTCTCTCTGATTGCCTTCATATTTAGCCGTATGGTATGGATGGATTTTTGTAACGTTAACAATAAACAGTGCGACCTTTGCATATTTAGTGTAAAAGTAAAACTGGTGCCTTTCCATATATTCATCTGACCTTGGGGCCTTTTGATAGTATTCTTATGAACTGGGGACCTTTAGAATATAATCCGTAAGAATTGGGACGACGTGCGCCTGTGATGATAGATTCCGGAAGGATGTGTTAAATTCATTTTTTAATTTAGTTCATAATTTTTATGAAAGTAATTAAAGAACGCTTACTCCAACAAGCTTGGTGCGCAAGGTGCGATGTTTTTATGGGAGGTAAAGTCCTATAATAAGTTTCTCATCTATTTCATGCAATGCCAAACCAGCAAACTGACCCGAAGTTCAAATTAAATCCACCGATTCCATCTGTTCTAAATTAAACAAAGAACCTCCACAGACAGCCAAAACGTCCATTTTGAAATTATTTTGGAACCCACAAACGGTGCTATCCCCCGAGTTTGCTATACATCAGCAGAGTGAAAAGGGTCTACAGAGTCACAGACCAGAACACATATAACCCCCCTTGTACTTGTATGTTGCATACTGCACTCGAATATTTCGCCATCCAGTAACTGATGAATATCCACTACCCTTATTTATTTGAAATAACTGGCACTTAACAATGCTTCATTAATCTCAAACATTCCATGCCACCCACTTCTTAATAGCCCCATGGACCAGCGAAATGGCTTTTGCAGATCATTATTGGACTTCACGATATGACCCCCAAGAGCCTGACTCACAGCTGCGCAGAGTTTGACTAAAAGTTTGATTGAGTACTACCTAGGATGAAATTCAGTTTCCTGCAATTTCTTCTTCACCTTCTAAATTTAGGATTGTGATGAAAATTAATGGTGAATTATTGGATAAGCTTAAAAGAAGAATAGTCTTCCATGTTGGAGTAATGTTGTCTGCCAGATATCTTGGTTACAAATTATAGAGAAAATGAAACATATGATGTAATTATGTTTCCTTTTGTTTTAAGAATCCCGCTCCAAGAATATTATTGTTGGAAGATTATGGATGGCTATCTTATCTACTTGCTAGGACAACATCTTACAGCGACAATTTCCAGTTACTTGCAGAGCATGCCAAAAGTGCTAGACATTGCGACGATAACCTCTACCAAGCCTTGACATATATCTGAAGGTATGCAAGTATTTGTAGTCTGTTCTTGTACTTCTAGATCTTTACAATGTCAGGAATAGGTGAATAACTTACATAGTTACCTTTCATTTTATCTGTAATTCTCGACCAATTTCGGCACATCCTAACCTGACAGAAGAAGAAAGGTCAAGTGTATGCCAGCTATAGAATATCATAAACATCACAAGAACGCTTCAACACATGATGAAAATGACCGGGTTGCCATTGAAATTGGAACGCAACTTATCCTTCTTGAACAGTGAACATGACAAGGTCATGACAGCTGCAGGATCCAATTACCCAGCGAACAAAGACTCCGGCCATTATTTTGAGTAAGTAAGGTTTCAGAAAGGATGTTTCTTTAACATCCCGAAGGAGAATGATGAAAAAAAGGTGACTATGAAAATGAAACTCAATCAATTGCCAGGTGAAAGCTGCCAGCTTCAGATCAAGCAAAGAGATGTCGTGTCAGAAGATAACAATTTTTTGTTTACCTCAGAACTATAGCCTTTATTGTCAATCATATCATGTTGAATTCCTGTTAACAATTATGCTATTAGAAAGAAAATCCAAGTGATAATCCTCGATTTTATTGTCGAAAAACATTTAGTTTTAGGTCCATCGTGCAGTTACAGTTAAAGTTATAACCGTCCAGTTAATCATAATGGAATCAATAAAGATGACAATCCTCAATCTGTATTCTACTTAGCATAATTTTTGAAGCTCTGGAATCAGAACTGACATTAACACATCTCATGCACTGGCCTACCAATAACCACAATAAATTTAAAGAGGGATGAGCACTGAAGTAACAAGTGTCAGAAACCTCTGGTTTTAACAATCTTTAAAGATTTCCCTATTCTCTTGACAGGTAGATCCAAGAAAAATTTACCAAAATTTCATTTTCATTTAGGTAAACAGCTATGAGCCTAACCATAACTTTGTTGTCATGTATATAATATAATATCATTGTTGTTGTAGTGCAAACTAACAGTACTTATGGTATCACCGAACAGTTAATTGCATAGATGGCAAAACATTAAAAGGAATTTCCATAAAGGAACATGGTGAGAGATTCACATATTAACCAGGTTTTGCATAGTACATATCATACTTATTCTCTTTACATAATGCAAAACCATTGAGAAATGAAGATATGATCGAAAACGGCAGGGTTATTCCAGTGTGACAGAAGCTAACAATCATTCAGGTGAAGCTTACAACAGATCATATTCGTTGGATAGCCTAAAGATTTCACCTTCACAGGAATTTAAGATCACATTTTAAAAAACTTGATAAGCTAGCCGCAAGTTTTTGGACACTGATTCTATTGAAATACACATAATTGGCACTGGTATTCAAGAAACTTACAAAGTACAGTTGGCAAAGAAAAATCCTTTTGGTTTGAGCCATTGCCTGATGTGAAACGAAAAAAAGACAAGGCCGGGAATGAATTTTACTATTCTTTGGAGCCATTCAAAGCACATTGTTAAGAGAAGGAATCTGAGTTGGATAAAGAGATTGGTTGTGCTGTCTGGTAACAGACCTATCATCAAATTTGATTTTCAGTTGTGTATTCACCAGGTTGAACTACACAACCATTAGCCTTTGAGAGGTAAGTTGATTTATCACAAAAGATTTTAGGCCACAATACACATATTGTACCATGTCAGGCAATGTCAGGATGATTAGAAAAGCAAAAATCCATGCCGCCAATAATTTTAATATTTTATACTTGAAGAAGCCGTATCAAATGTATTCTTTGATTAAATTTAGTACTTGACATTGATTTTGAGAATTTGAGCATGTTGTTTCTGTGGCTAAATAATGATTTCAAACTCTTCTCTCCGTGTAACAAACTTAATTGGGGTATAATCCAAAATTTTATATAAAAATAAGGTAGAGGGCGATTGTCTGATGTTCGCTTCGATTCTGAGTTTAAGTGAAAACTGTGGTCGTAGTTTGCTCTTATTAGCTCTCTTCTACATTAATTGAGATTCGTGTAACCTTACTCGATTAAGATTAAAAAAATAACGTAAAAGTTGATAATATTAACTACGAAACCGCTAACCGCAATCAGAGAGTCTTAAAACCCGTCCCATACGGCCTAAAACAAGTTTTATTTGAAAAATTTCTCAACTATCTTATTGAAAAATTAAGCCTATCATTCATAATCTAATACATATAGATTCATATACACAATGCCAAATAATTAGTAAATAACGTTCAAATGGATAAAAATAGCAGCATAGAACCGTGTAACAGCATCGAGAGTCTTAAAACCCGCCCCATAAACTTTCGCTTGTATGGTCCATGGATATAAGTAGCAGCTGCTAAGCCTACCATACCGAGATTGAGAAGGATTATGGAAACACATGCTAAAAGGGGTCATCAGCTTCCTCAGGAGATCCGAACCCGTGCCCCATCTGTCTCGGACCCATGGTTCAAGACTCCTATCTTGATAAATGCTTACCGGTTGTTCACTCTAACTCTTTGTTTTTGACATTTTCATGAGTTGGGTTTCTCCCAAACACAATTAGAAGCTCTTTATGTCGAAACAGTGGAAGATATCGCTTATGTATTCTTAAATTTGTTATTGTTAAAGTGAAGATTTTATATAGAATCGAGAGAATTAATTGCGGCAAAAGAATTTAACGTTAAAGATGAATTTTAATATTGTTTGACATTTCTTGTTTCGATAACGTACTGGAATTGTGCTCGCAATTGACATTGTTTTTAGTTGCGTTATTTACTTGTTTCTATTTTCTTTTATTTTTGGGGGATTACATCTGTGAAGTTAAGTGTGATTTCAGATTTTTTATTTTGAAAAATATTCTGCCTGCATGTGCATTTAGTTACAAGTTAGATATATGGATGAGAGAGAAGTGAATTTATCGGTTTTTGATCATCCGTGAAGGCTTTGGATTTGCATTGCTGTGGTGGCAGATAATTTTGTTATAACGTATTGTACAATGGACTAAAGTGTTGCTAGCAAGCATTCGAGCCTGCTTTCTTCTGGTAAGTGTCCTTTATGCAAGGTTATGTTGTTTAGCACTTCACGACATCTGCTAATAATTTCTAGTTGGGTGGGCTGGCAAGCCGTGACAAATGTAAATTTGAAAAGTTTTACTGATTATGCTATGTTTATACCAAGATGCAGATGAGAACTTTCAATCATCTATGGATACAACGGAACTCATTTTCAAGGCATTATATTGGTCAAAATTCTGGGGATAGTAACCCTTTTCTTTCAAAATTTTCTTTACTGATTCATTGTATGCTTATTTTACTCTTTTACTTCTGCTTGCAGTTTTTCTTTTCAAAGCCCATAAGTTAGACTGCAATGCTATTACACAATCGTCTTAAGCGTGTTTTTATTGATTCTTTGACTTCAATCATTTCATGCTGTCATTTTGCTATTTTATCTTCTGACAAATCACTGTATCCCGTATATGTTTTTCAGTCAATTATGTGTTCAATCAGGTATCTTAAATGACATATCATGTTTCTCGGGTACTGGATATCTGAGTGTATCTTCAGTCAAATCAGTGGCTGCCATGTTGTGTTGAAAGGGAAATCCAACTCTGATGCAGGTAGATGTTCATGAGTCTATTTGTTCTTGCAAATTTCTTGCCCTTAGTTACTTAGAGCATGGTTGGACATCCATTTAAGTGAATTTTCTCTATTAGCCCTAGAGCAAATCCACTGAAACTAAAAGGAGATTCCCTAATAGCAGTGCCAAATATTGGTTATATAGCTTTTACTTGAACCATCCTTCCTTATTACTAAGCATTGTTTTGTGATCATGTGCACTATATCTTCAATATTATTTCCATTGAGGGAGTTTGTCCCCCTAATGGAAGACGCTGAGATTATTTTGGCTTCATAAATTTTCTTTTCTTGAAGCTCATCTAGCTTGGCGATTATTATACCTTTTCTTATTTTCAAGAGGATATAACCCATAATTTGGTGATGCTTGTAATGTTTTATCTCATTTACCTTTAGAAGAACCTCCCTACGTTCTTTTTCCGAATGGAGAAACGGTTTGACAATATTTATTGTCTGAATTGCTTTGCTGGAACATAAGCTGCTTGCTTTTCTTGTTGAATTCAGATTATGAACCTACTTCATAGGGATAGCAAGATTACTGGACAATTTTGATCTGTTTTGTCGTGAGATAAGGATAATTGACTAGATTTTTGGAGAACATATTGAAAACGTTCCTGTTGTTGACCGTAAATTTTTAGCATTTTGGAGCGGCATCAATAGCATTGGCTATTCTGTCTTTAATTTGTTTTTCACCAGAACAGACAGATTTTTAGTCTTCTGTTCTCTTTGGAACTATGAAACAAAACTTTTGTGTATTGGCAAGTTTAGGACCGCCTATATTATGGATATTGTCTATAATTGTGCTGTTTACAGGATCTGGCCATGCATTTACCTCTTGCAAACTAGTTATATGTATATCACTAGTAAAATTGCTCTACATTTTGTTGACTATTGAAGACTGGTTTGCTTGCTTTTTTAGGAAAAGTGTTGAAATTGTTGTGCATCACATAGTTGGTGTGGTTGATTCATTTTTGAGGCGGTAATATTCAGTGTTGCTTGCATCTTAAATTTATGGTATTGATTTGAAATTTCTGTCATTGAAACCCCGTTTTTGTTTTCATTTTTTTTGGTTATGTATGATAAACTTGTATTCAACTTACCCAAATTTGCTATGATTTCCAGAAAACGAGCATAGCGACAATTAAAAAACCTGAAGCAAAACAAGAAGATTTAAGGCTCTAGTCTCTGATGCGGCAAGACCTTTTCTAACGGCAAGAACAGATCGATTTGTGAACGAGATGGACTTTTTCTTGCTTCTGGGTTGAACATTGAAGCCTATGATGCAGTCTACATGCAACGTTTGGGTTGGAACCCCCCCAAGTAACTATCGAGTCCACGGAAAGGGAATCCAGTGGGCAGCCCCTGTAATAGTCCCATACTTGTATACTTTGATGAGGATTCGGATGGAACTGATTGAATGTTTTCTTGCTATTTCTGAAGTTTGTATTGACTTCCATTATTAGAGTTGATACTTGTTGCCATTCTTGATATTTGAAGTCAGAAGAGGATCCTTGCCTTGAATCAATTGAGCCAAGGTCCCATGGTTAACGAGTTTTCCATTCAATAGCTTGAGTTGTTGAAGAAGACTATGATCTTTTTGAGGTTCCTAATTTCAGTTTCCTTTCACTCAACTGGATTAAATTTTGAAGTTTGAAAATGCCGCTATCTTCTTTTTCATGTCATATTGTGGTAGGTGACAAGTCTTCTATTTTAGGTTGGTTTGAGAGGTGGGATTATGGTGTGGAAATTTGGAGTTGGACTATTTTCCCCTGTTTGGGTATATTTTAGGAGATTGAGATTGGATGTACCCCAGTCTCCTTTATTTATCCCAAATCGTGGGATAAGAATCCCATGGGAAGCCACAAGATTTCTTATGGGACAACATTTTTTGTGCTTTTAGTAATATACTCGTTTAAGTTTATATATGATTTAAAATTAAATTTAAATATTATATTTTAGCTAATAATATTTTTTTAATTAATATATTTAAAAAATATATTAGTAAAATTTTAATTTTTATTAACTTTATATCACAATATATTTATATTTAAATTATAGATATTATATTGAATGATAATAAATGCGTTCATAAGGAGTGTAAAAAACTTAAGTACGTTATTCTAACCCTTAAAAATAATATTTGTTCCATTCAAGTTTCTTATAATTAATTCTATATAAATATCACAATTTTACATAAAAATATTTAATTCTGCAAATTGCACGGGCTTCAGAAAATTTCAAAGGAACAGGAACATCATTTTAGTCAAATAAATGGGTTCTTATGATATTAGTCAAATGAACACGGATCTTTCTGATAGTAGTCGAACTGATCAGGGTTCTGTGTGTAAGTGAAATGAACAGGGGACTTTCTGATATTAGTCAATGCACTGGCAGGATATTATTCAAATGACAAAACTTTCTGCCGCCGTCCAATGGCGAGTAGCCACAAAGTCACCACATGTCTTGCGGTCCATGCATGCTTGTTGGCTGAAAGAAGTTTTATATGGCGGGATGTCTACCTCTACAAGCGACTTCGCTGTTTAGTAACATCAAGGATAAAGCGAGCTAACCATATACTGTGAGAACAATGGCAGTGGAAGTAATGGCGAAGACACAGATTATGGAGCTTCTCGTCGAAAAATTTATTCTCCGCCAGTCCCTTCACCTCATCCACTCCCTTAAGTGGCCACTTTTGAAATTAAAGACATGTAAGTAAATACCTCTCTGTTCTCAATTCAATGAATCCATTGGGGTCTGATCTTCTGATCATGTCAGTAAGATAGGCAGGAACATGAGTATTTGAAGTATCTTTGTTTAGTTCATAGGATCGTTTCAGCTTATGTGTTTCGCTCCGTCTTGCTAAGTTGATGTGAGACAATGAGAGTGTTGAATTGTTTAAGACTTCAGCTCTTAGTTTCATTTGTGTTCCTTCACAGTTCGTGCTTTACAATAGATAGGACTAATTCCATACGGTGTATTGATCTTGGCTGTTTTTTTTTTTATTTAATTTTCTTTTGAAATTTGTATGCAGATTTGATGTGGAAGGATATGTAACTGGATTTGGAACATCCTGAATGGGCAAGGACTCATTCGGCAGCCACGTCAACGGCTCCGGCTGTTTTGGCTGTCTTGAGGGGAGGTGCCACTGTATTGGTAAACTGTCATGGATGAAATGGCATACAGGTTGGAGTTCTTTTAACCAATGTATTGGTTTTAGTTAGTTATTCTTTGTGTTACTCTTTTGAAATAGTAGGAAACAAGTTCACTATTTGTCAATCATAATCATGATGATTTGGACTCCTCCTATAGGTAATTCATCGTGAATGTTAATTTGCTAATACTAAATAAACAATAATCATCGTATGGCAGTATAAATGGAGAAAATATACATTATGGAACACCCACAAATCCTGTGGCACCTGACCGATACCTGGAGGATCTTCTAGTGGAAGCTGTTGCGTAGGTGCAAAGCTTGTAGATTTTTCCTTGGGTCAGTATTTCTGTCTTGTGTCCTTATGTTTCTCGGCTTGTCCATATCAGTTTTAAGTGAAAAACTGTCTCCGCTACAGGACTGACACTGGAGGAAGTGTAAGAGTACCTGCATCATATTGTGGAATTATGTTTCGGCCTTCAATTGGTGCTGTTTCTACTGCTGGAGTTTCCTATGTCACGTTTTTGATACTGTAGGTAAGGAATTTGATGTCTGACAACCTACTTTGAGAGATGGTGTATAACATCTTTAAAAATGCATTTTGAATTGCTCTGTAGTAAGAAGCTTTTGTTTAATTTAAATAATACCAGTGTGCTTTACCAAATGGACAACGGGTTATTACTGTTAATGAGTGAAGCCTTTATGCTGTTGTTTTAGCTTTAATACATCTTGCATTCGTCCATTGATCTCCAAGCAATCTAACGGTGAAGACTTACTGCTGGTCACCATTAAAAGTGAAGTCTTTCCTCATTCCAACAGTCTCTTTCGATCGATATCCTCATAGCTTAGGGTTTTGTATGTACTTTGCTCTTGTGTAAATTAGTGGTTGATCCACCCATCAAAGTTGTGTTTCTTTGGTGGGGAGAATCAGGTTAGAATTTTCATTAAGGTTATAGATTTAGGGTATAGAAGTGAAGTGGTGTGATTCTTGTTAGTAAGGGCTTGAAGGGAAGATTGGTGGTGTGTTTGTAATCTTTGGTGACAATAATAATAGTGCAGCGAGCCTCCATATTCTGGAGTTCACGTAGACGTAGCCTTTTCAATCTGACAAGTGAACCATAGAAAAAGATTGTCTGTGTTCCTTTTCTATATTTGATCTGTGTTTTGTGTGTTGAATCTTGATTAGATAAGATTGACTCAGGTTTAGAACATTATCTAAAATATTGTGATTTCTCTTCTTCCACCAAATTTTGTTTTGTCCTGGCATGGATAATTTATAGTTGTTCTAGAAAACTTAATAAATTTCTACAGCTTTTTATTTGGTGACTCATTCTTTGACACCAAATTTTCATCTAGGATGGTTTCTAGGGATCCTACAATCTTGAGGCAAGTTGGTCTGTTCGGCTGGAGTCATCTGTACGCCTCATGTCGACCTATCAGGTGTATGTCGCTGAGATTGCGTACGACTTTCAAGCATTCCAAGTGGTCGACAACTCAAGTTCTTCTTAAAGCATGGAGAAACTGTTTGGGGTAGGTAAATTTACCATATGCTCTTTTAGTATGATTTCTACTGGACCTTTTAATTATTGAAGTGTGGTAATGATAAGATTTCCATTAACTTGTTTGATTAGGCTGTTATATCGTATTATAGTAGTAACTAATTACTTCAAGCACATGTATAGATTTTATAAAATTGTTTTCCTTTAGGTGAGATCCACTTAATGTGTTTGGTGATGCAGGTCATATTTAAGAATGTAATTCTTGGTGACTATGTCAGGAAAAGTTCCAGTTTGAAGAATTCATAAGTGAGGAAATAATGATCAGAAACTATACCATCCTTGGCAGCCCTTTCAGGAGCCATGAGTTGCTACAAGGTGCAGAGCGTCAATAATTTTTAGAATTCTTAAGTATTCACAGACCTGTAGTACCTTTTGATTAATCTTTGGCTGAATTTTATTACTATTTGAAGCATAGGTATGAATCAAGAAGAACCATGGTGAATGGTGACTACAGTCAAACCTGAATTTGTCCAGGAATACATGAAAGGTATGGGAAGCAATAGAACATCATCAGATAACATTGATGCCTGTCAATCTATGAGGACGGAATTACGTGCTGCTCTTACTGCTCTCTTGGGGTACTTTTCTCTCTCTCAATGCAGCACAAGTCAAATATTCTCTGTTGTTCAAAGCTTGATTAATCCCATACTTATATTAGCCTGGCATTAAATCTCATAATAGTTTTTATAGGTATTCTGGTAGATAAACGGTACTTAAAACAAGATTATGAACCTTTTAACTAAAAGAATATTTCTTTCAATATGATATAATGTATTCGCATGTTAGGTTCAGAGATATTATTGGGTATTCATATACGTCTAATCCGCTTACTATGCAGCAAGACACTCATATAATATACCATTATAAACGAAGAATACAGTTTTCATTGAAGATCTAAGTTCTGCTGTGAAGTATTTTCCTCAGTTGTGTAAGATCTTTCTGTATGCATTCTCTTAAATTCATGATAGATCAACGATTACACTGGCATATATTCATTTACCTTTACGTTGTCTTGTGAAACCATTTCATTTTGAACTTAAGGATTTGTTGTAAAAAAGTATGTACATCTTGCTGCAAGAACAGAATGGGTGTGTCTCATGTCATAAATTTTGCAGCCACCATTTCTCTCACATAATTTTACCTTATCCAATTTAAAAATTACTCATCTGAATTATATTCTATCAGGATGCGGTATCTTTGTTTACCCTACAGTTCAAGGTCCTCCACCGAAACTAAAAATGGATGCAGCTGCCTTTGAAGTTGATATAGCCAGGCTTTTCGCTTGCTTGCTATAGCTGGAGTATCTGGCTTCTGTCAGGTTCTTTCTCCTCACATTCTAATTTGGTTTCTACAAGACCATTTAATTTTCTACTTTTCTAATGTCTTTTCTGGGAATGGTTTTATTTACAGGTGAGACCCATAGGGATGTAGATAATCTTCCTGTGTCAGTTTCCTTGGTGGCGAAACATGGTTCAGATGGATTCTTGCTCAACCTTGTCATACTCTTCATGACACCCTCAAAGAGATCCAAGTTGCACAAGTTACTAAACTAAATAGGCTGTTTCCAATAATTTTCTGTAAGTTTCTTATCATTCTTAAAGATGAAAAATCGGCATAGAGTCTATTCTATTTCACTTTTTCTCTTCATAACACCTTTTTTAAACCTCTTTCTGCAGGTGCCATGGAGGCTTGTATACAAAAATAAAAATGCAGAATGTTGAAAGTACTTGTTCAAGGGGCCGTTTCTCTTCATTTCCTACAACAATTCAGGGAATACATAGATATATGTTTCTTATGAGAAAAATAGTTGGAAATTCAAGATCTTAAGACCATTTGTCCCTGTTCAGCTGTTCTTAATGTAAAAAGATATGTCAAATATGGAGGAAGCTATCCGCTATATATTGATTTGAAGATCTATAATGATATTTCTTAGTTATATCGTTCTACAAAAGACTCTGCTCTCTCTGATCCCTTCATTTAGCCGTATGGTATGGAATGGGATTTTTGTAATGTTAACAATAACAGTGCGACCTTTGCATATTTACTGTAAAACTGGTGCCTTTCATATAATTCATTGACTTGGGGCCTTGTGATAGAGTATTCTTATGAACTGGAGGCTTCCGACATTATCCTCATGAATGGGACCTTTCAACGATCCGTAAGAAATCGGGACTTCTCTGATATTATCCTTAAACATGGTGTCTTTCTGAAAGTATCCTCATGACTAGGACCTTTTGTTCTGACTCTGACCTTTCGGTATTATCCGTTCGACCATTCTCGTCTTTCTGATATTATCTGTTCGACTGTGAGCTTTCTAATAATAATTTATCCTTATCGACTGGAACAGGGGTGGACCGGAACCTTTCTGATATCAGTTTCATTTTACAAAAGAATTTTTTTGCTTCAGCGTTTTTGGTACATTACGATAAAGCAGAGCCAGCCATACACAGTTAGAAGTTAGAACAATACAGTGGGAAGAATGGCGAGAGAGACAGATTATGGACCTTCATGGACAAATTATTCTCCAGCCAACCCCGTCTCCTCATCAACTACCTTTAAGTGGCCTCACTTTTGCGGTAGACATGTAGTCTCTCTATTATTGTAAATTCATAATTAGTTGGATTTCTCATCATATCACTTTTTTTTTTTTTTTTTAATGATAAGAACATGATTATTTGAAGTATATTTCGTGTTTCACATGTGGCTTTAAGTTGATTTGATCATTTCGGCTTATGCGTTACATTCCATTTTGCTTAAGTTGATACGAGACAGTGATCGTGTTGGATTGATTAAGAACTTCAGCTCTTAAATTTCATTTTTGCTCTTGTAAAAGTTTGTGCTTTGTAATTTGTAGACTAATTTCAAACTGATATATTAATCTGGGCTCTCTTTTTTAAAAAAAAAAAAAAAAAATTGTGTTTGGTTCACGTGTTGGATTATTATTATTATTTTAAATTGAAATTTGTATGCAGATTTGATGTGGATGGATATGTAACTGGATTTGGAAATCCTGATTGGGCAAGGACTCATTTGGCTGCCACGTCAACGGCTCCGGCTGTTTTGGCGGTCTTGAGAGGAGGAGCCACATGTATTGGTAAAACCATCATGGATGAAATGGCATACAGGTTAGAGTTCTTTTAACCAATGTATTGATCTTAGAGTTATTTTTTTGTTACTCTGTTGAAATAATTGGAAATAAGTCACCATTTTTTATTTCATCTTTCTATGTTATTTGCTGATCACTCATTAAACTATGGATAATCATGTGGCAGTATAAATGGAGAAAATATACATTATGGAACACCCAGAAATCCATGTGCACCTGACCGGGTACCTGGAGGATCTTCTAGTGGATCAGCTGTTGCAGTCAGCGCAAAGCTTGCAGATTTTTCCTTGGGTCAGTATTTCCTACATGAATGGTTGATTTGTTTTTTGGCTTGTCCTTGGTTTCAGAAGTAAAAATTCTCTTTGTTACAGGAACTGACACTGGAGGAAGTGTAAGAGTCCCTGCATCATATTGTGGAATTTTTGGATTTCGGCCTTCACATGGTTCTGTTTCGACTTCTGGAGTAATACCTATGGCACAGAGTTTTGATACTGTGGGTGAGGAACTGCTACCTGATTAACCTATTTCGGATATATGGCATATAACATCTTGTGTTTTTTCAATCATACTGTAATTCATTTTGAAATTGCTTCTGTAGTCTTGAAGCTGTATTTTTAACTTAAATAATAACAATAGCAATGATGCTTTATCAGATAGAGCCATTAATCATCTTCTACAATTCTGTGATGTTTTTTCCATCCACATTTTTTGTTATATGCATGGCATGGATGATTTTAGTTCTTTTGGAGAACTTCACATGTTTATATGTATCCTCAAGTTTTTGACTCATTCTTTTGACACCAAATTCTCTAGGATGGTTTGCTAGGGATCCTACAATTTTAAAGCAAGTTGGTAACGTTCTACTGGAATCATCTGATATGTGTCTTCCTACAATTTTAAAGCAAGTTGGTAACGTTCTACTGGAATCATCTGATATGTGTCTTGTCAGACCTAGTCAGGTGATCGTTGCTGAAGATTGCTTACGGCTTTCAAGCCTTCCAACTGATCGGACAACTCATGTGCTTGTTAAAGCAGTGGAGAAACTATTTGAGGGTAGGTAATTTACCATATAGTTCTGTTACTAGTCATGTCCTACAGGACCTTTTGAATTTTATTGACTGTGTGGAAATGATAAATTTTCCACTAACTTGGTGTCTTTTCATGTCATTTTTCTTTCTTGAGATGGTTTGTTTAGGCACTTTAGAAATGCTATATCTGATACAAAATGGTAGTAATTAGCTACTTTTTAGCACAATTTTGTTTTAATAATAATTGTTTTGTTTTCCTCTTGGTTAGATATCACTTTATGTATTTGGTTATGCAGGTCATATTGTAAAGAATGTAATTCTTGGGGACTATGTCAAGGACAAAGTTCCAAGTTTGAAGCATTTCATAGATGAAGGAAGCAAAGATCGAGAGTATACTATACCATCCTTGGCAGCCCTTTCAAGTGCCATGAGGTTGCTTCAAAGGTGCAGAGCATCAACCCAAATTTCTAATTGATTTACTTGACCTGTAGGACTGTTTAATTAAGCATTGACTGATTTCATTACTATTTGAAGCACAGGTATGAATTCAAGAATAACCATGGTGACTGGGTGACAACTGTCAAACCTGATTTAGGTCCAGGACTATCAGAACGGATATGGGAAGCCGTAAGAATATCAGCAGATAAAGTTGATGTCTGTCAATTTGTAAAGACAGAACTACGTGCTGCTCTTACTGCTCTTCTTGGGGTACTCTTTCTCTCTCTCAATGCTGCACAAATCAAAGTTCTACTCTTCGAAGCTTTATATACCCCATACTTATATTAACCTGTCATTGAATCTCATAATATTTAATGGATAGTCTGGTAGATAAACTATACTTACAAGAACACATGTTATGAACCTATTTAACTAAGACAAAAAAATATTTCCCTCGAAATGATATAATGTATTCATTTGTAAGGTTACAGGTATATGCATGCTTGGGTACTTTATATAAGCCTCTAATCGGGACTTTCCATATTTACATAAGGATGACCATCCATCTATTAAAAGCGGCAAGACACTCATATAATATATCATTAAAAACTGAAGAAAGGTTTTTTCCCCTGAAGACTATAAGTTCTACTATGAAATACTTTTATCAGTTCTGATAGATGCTTTCTGCTTGAATTCTCTTAAATTCAGATGCAGATGAAACTGATTTTACTGGTATAATAATCATTTAACCTTTCTTTGTCTTAGTAAAAGCCATTTCATTTTGAATAACTTCGTGATTTGTTGTAAACAAAGTATGCATGTTTGCATCTTGCTGCAATAACAGAATTGGGGTGTCTGTCATGTGGAGGAATATGAAATTGTAAACTTGGAGCCACGAATTCTCTCTTATGAACTCACTTTATCTAATTTTTATTCTGTCAGGATGGTGGTATCCTTGTTATTCCTACGGTTCCAGGCCCTCCACCAAAACTACAAATGGATGCAACTGCATTGGAATCTTTTCGGGCCAGGGCTTTTAGCTTGCTGTCCATTGCTGGAGTATCTGGATTCTGTCAGGTTCTCTCTCTTCACATATTTTATTTTGGTTTCTATAAGACCATTTAATTTCTACTTTTCTAATCCATTTTTTTTTTATTTGAATTGGTTCTATTTACAGGTGAGCATACCACTAGGAATGTATGATAATCTTCCCGTGGCAGTTTCCTTGTTGGCGAAACATGGTTCAGATGGATTCTTGCTCAACCTTGTCAAGACTCTTCACGACGCCCTCAAAGAAGAGATTCAAGCTGTCTAGAGAACGCATAACTAACCTAAACAGGCTGTTTCCAATTTTCTGTAAGTTTCACTTTTTCGCTTGGTAACACCTTCTTCCCAAACATCTCTTTCTTACCATGGCAGCTTGTATATAAAAATGAAAATGCAGAATGTTGGAATTATTACTAATTGGACTTGTTCAGGGGCCAGCATTCTCTCCAATTCCTAAATCAATTCAGGGAGATATATATGCTTCTTCCATGAGAAAAATACTTGGGAGATACATAATGTAATTAGTTTGTAAAATATGGAGGAAAATATTTGCTATATTGCTTATGTATAATTTTTAGATCAACCATCATCGTCACCAACAATTGAATTAGAATTGAGTGAATTACAAGGTTTTAGATGGCACCCTCTTATCATTTTTCTGACCCATAATTTTGATCTTCACTCTTATCATATTCTCCATATCAGATGGAGGTAAATATAAGTATCTTTTTGGAAAGACTCCTTTTATATATATAGTATGGAGTTTCCAATTTGAGAGATTCTTTGAACAAGAAAAATTAATAAAGCAAAAAAGATAAATATTATATTATTTATTTATTTATTAATATTTATTACAATATTCATAATTATTATTAATTTAATATTTATAATGATATTCATATTTATTATCATCCTAAATAGTTAATAATAAAAGCATATGAACATTGATGAGAAAATGGATCAAGTTCTATGCATTTAACCCATGAAAAATTTAGTAGGTGGATAGAAATTAGGTAAACCCTTCTCACATTTCAACATATTATAAATTTTTTTTTTATTATTATCATTATTTCTTTTTGTGTGACTGGAGTGTCTAAATTAATTTGCATGTATCTCGATTAATCTTTGAGGTTCGTTAAATATCCTATAAACCTAATAAATCAGTTAAGTCACAAATATGATAGGTAATCACTTGGTAAAACTCAGAATACAAAATTCAAAATCTCTAACTAATCTAAGATCTTGCTATTAGGCCGCAAGCCAAGTATTTAGAAGTTAGAATTCAGATTTTATTTTATTATTATTATTATTATTTGAGAAAATAAATATTTAAGCGTTACAACTTTTAATAGACGGCCTTTTGAAATAAAAATAAGCTTCAACTTCGTATATATATAGCATTGTTATTCATATTATGACTCGCTGTGCTCCAAAAACATCAAGTTTTTAAACTGTTGATACAGAAAATCGCACTAACTAAAGAGATTTGATTAACCTTGAGGGAATCGAATCAAAATGCTGCGTGATTTTCCAAACACATGCAAATGCAACTGAAAAATCTTGAGCCCTGGAACAGTATTGTTAAGATGAAAAGGGGAAAAGGGGAAAAGGATTTTGCTTAAATGTGTTGATACCTTTGGCAATTGCCCAATTGGTAGATAGCTTGATGGATGGAGATTTTGAGGTCTTTATCAAAATATAACTTTCCAGCAACAAGTGAAAATAAAAACCAAGAGCATTTTTCCAGCCTTCAGCTTTTGATTCCAAAACAGCTATTTGTGAGATTCCTCCTCTTATTATTCATCATAGAATTTCATCAGTGTGTCAGCACTATGCATGCTTGTTGAAATCTCCAGTGGAAGGAATCTGCAAACAGTTCCTTATTTGGGCCCTCTCATCCGGTTTTCACCCTTCTTTGGGTTTATCAAAAAAAAAAAAAAAATCAAAATGGTTGTATCGATGACTCTTATGTGTATTATTCAAAAGATTCTAAGTTTAAGTCACCTAAATTGCTAATATGGACAGTCATTAGAGGATATATTTGATCGTTAACTTCAGAGTCCCGAGGAAGGATATACCCGATCATTAACTTCAAAGTATCAGGGGAGGATATACTCGATCGTTAACTTCAGGGCCTCAAAAGATTAGTCGACGTACACGCAAGTTGACCTGAACACCCTCAATCACCAAAAAAAAATAAAAAAATAACTCCCCCTCACTTATAATCAAATAACAAAAATCCCATATAATTATAATAATAACATAAATCCCCATGTCATAGTGTTAAAGTAAACAGTAAAAGAAGAATTCTGTAAATATTTATTAACTCATCATGTTATAAATTCTAAACAACATACTAACGGCAGAGAAATTTTTATTATTTCTGAAAAATCAGGGGGATTTATTTTACTATAAAATACTATAAAATATAAAAGGGTTTTTTTTTTATATAGAAATTAGGTAAACCCTTCTCACATTTCAACATATTATAAATTTTATTATTATTATTATTTCTTTTTTGTATGACTGAAGTGTTTAGACTAGTTTGTGTGTATCTCGACTAATTTTTAAGATTTATTAAATATCCTATAAATTCAATGAACTAGTTAAGTCACAAATATGATAAGTAACCACTTGGTAAAACTCGCATACAAAATTCAAAATTTTTAGCTAATCTAAGATCTTGCTATTCGGTTAGAAGTTAGAATTCAGATTTTACTAATAATAATAAACTCTTTTATTTATAAATTCCCAATGTTGAAAATTAACTGCCGGAAAACTTAATTATTTTCCATTGAGATAAGACCATATAATGAGACAAAATTTCGAATCTCAACCGCCTTTTGCGCGCTTGTAGTTCACCACCCAATAAAATGCAACATTAATATTTTTTCTTGAATTGCAATAATTGGCATTAAAATTGCTTTCTATATACAATATCCACTTCTATTTTATACTATAACTCTCCTTGATGGTTGCAAAAATTAAAATTTTAGTTGGGATTTAAAATTTGTAACAAACAAATTATAATTTTTTTTTTTAAAACAAATGTTTGGATCAATATACGTATAATTCAACTAATCGTTGTTGGTGACTAACATTATATCTCACGTCATGATCGCCTTCTTGAATCTTAGAAGGAAAAAACTTATAATTTCCATCGTTTTAATAAAATGTAATGTAATTTATATATTAAACTAAATATGATGAAATATATAACTATTAATATCTAGAAAATCATCATTTCAATAAGAATTTTAGTCAATAATCTAGTACTATATGGTATATTTTTTCTGATCAAGAATTTAAGAAATGTTTATAATGTTTTTATAATAAAATTTGTGTTCTTCATTGCCACTTCCTTTCAGGTTATTTATTGAGTTAGAATACACTTTTGACATTTTTATGGATATTCTTTTCATTAAAATTAAGGTTTCTATAATATTTGACCAATTTTTAAAGAAACCTTCCCCTAAGATTTAAGTTTATATCACCAAAACCCTCCAAGTATGGAAAATTTGATTCAAAGTAAATACTATATATATTACGAGACTAAATTTGTAACATGGGTTAACAATGATACTATATATACAATGTTTGTATACAAAATTTTGCAAATAAAATTACGTGGTAGAAAATGAATCAATGGTGGACCTATATAGAGGCTCGAGTTCTTTTCTCTTTTATTCCTCTCATTGGTTGAACATTATTTTTGAATCCCTCAAATGCAATTTCCTAACTAAAATGAATAAACGAATTAATATAAAAAGTCAACTTAATAAAGAATTCGAGCATAACAATAGAAGAGTAATATGTGATCACTTCGTATACAATGCAAGACTGGGGCATACGTAGCATCACTTTAACAATTATACGTCAAGGGCAAATTTGTCATTTCAACTTTTCGATCAACCATTTTTTTTTTATATATTTTGCTAGAGCTCTAGCGAGGTGAGTTAGTCTTTCCCATGCTTATGGGGTCTTGGTAATAACTCAAACCCTTGGGGAGGTCTCTGATATTAACCATTAAAGTGAAACTTGGTTGTACCAATCACACGCCCAACCAACAGTGAATAAAGAAAAAGAGAAACGAAAACAAGAATCTATGTTGGGTTTCTCCGCCAACTTCCAGCAACACTTTAAGTTGCTGATTCATTTACCTTTAAGTACTTCCACTTTCACACTCAGACCAAATCTCTCATTCATTCTTCATTAACTAACATCCTCTGCAGGAAATCTTATTCATTTGATTAATAAATAAGTTCTTAAATAAATATCAATCAATCAATAATGGAGATCAAAGCTAGAGCTCCTGGGAAAATTATACTCGCCGGAGAACACGCCGTGGTTCATGGATCAACTGCCGTAGCTGCCAGCTTTGATCTCTTTACTCTTTGCTCTCTCCGTTTTCATTCTGATTCTGGTACATGTTTTTTTGTGTTTGAGATTCTGGGTGTTTTATATTTTTATTTTTTGGTATAATCTTTTTTTGCTGATTTTGTGAGTTGAATGTGTAGAGGTGAGGCTTATATGAATTGGGTTGATTTGGGATTGCTTGAAATGGTGATTGGGAGATACCCTTTTTATATTATGGGGAGATGGGTTTGTTATGAGAGATTTTTGCTTTGGATGGGTGTGTTTGTTGAATTGGCTTATAATGGAGGTAGGGAAAAAAGAGATATTTTTGGAAATTGATTTGGGTTTGCTTTAAATGGTGATCTGAAGTAACGCTTTTTTCTTTTTACCGTTTCACTTTTCTGGTTCATGTTGTGATTTTGCTCTTGCTTTTGTTTGAATGGATAATCTGATTTTTACAAATTAAATGAAAAAAAAAATGGATTTTCTGTTGATGATTGAAGATTACAGATCAGTTCTGAGAAGCGAGTAAGAAATTACAGTTTGTTAAGAGGTATAACGTGAGGATTAATAACCTGGTTAGATTCATGGTTGCCTGAAATAAAATTATATGCTTAGTTGGGTCTCAATAGGAGATTTATGAATCAATATTGTGCTTTTTGTAATTTATATTAATATTATTGTCTTCTCTAATGTCGATGTAATGGTAAAATATACATTTGTTCTTTCTTATATAGAGAATGATGATACACTCAACCTGTCTCTGAAAAGCGTGGGATTAGAATTTTCATGGTCAGTTGGAAGAATTAGAGAAGCACTTTCTCACTTGGGTGGTCCTTTCCTGTCAACACCCACTTCATGCTCAACAGAAGCTGTTAGATGTATTGCAGCTCTAGTTGAAGAACAAAACTTTCCGGAGGCTAAAATTGGACTTGCTACTGGCGTGTCTGCTTTTCTCTGGTTGTACACCTCTATTCAAGGGTACGCATCCAGAATCACTCTGTGGTGTTGACTGATTTCTTTTGCTATTTTGGTCTCTAATAGCGTTTCTTTTGTGTGTCAGGTTTAAGCCTGCCACAGTGGTTGTTACATCCGACCTTCCAGTTGGTGCAGGCCTTGGCTCATCAGCTGCATTTTGTGTCTCACTGACAGCTACTCTATTGGCTTACTCAGATTCTGTGAGTTTGGATAAGAACCAGCAAGGATGGCTTGCATATGGGGACAGTGATCTTGATCTTTTAAATAAATGGGCTTTCGAAGGTGAGAAGATAATTCATGGAAAGCCATCTGGACTTGACAACACAGTCAGCACATATGGTATGTAATCTTTGTGATCTACTCTAGATAAATTTGTACTTTTGTCCATCTTCAATGGTTGCACACTTGTTAATTTGAAATGAGTAGGTTTTGGAGTTTATAGCTTCAAATTAACTAGTATTTCGTAGGTTATCAGAACAATACAAAACAATTTTAAAGATAGTGATAATGTCAGAAATTTACCATCTAAGGGAGCATGTAAAGACTCCAGTATATAAGTCCCAGATGACTTACAATATCGTTTTACTGTTGATTAGTTATTCTGTTATTGATCATTGATATCAGTTCAAGCAATGATGCTTTGTGAAATGGGGCGAGCACTTGGAAAGAGTAAAATGCTAGTGTAAAAGGGAAAAAAAAAAAAAAAAAAAATCCATTGAAGAGGATGCATGTGTGGTTTGCCTATTTCTGGTGATTAATCAAGTCTACAACTCAAAGTATGTGGAACTTGTTGGTTATATTTATGTAACTCAAAATAACATTGATATGACTTTAAAAATTCAAAGATTTTTCTTCTTTCCCCCACAAATACCCACTACCTGTTGCTTAATTTGGAAGAAATAAGACCAGAGAACATCATCTTTAATGTTCAATCAAATCGGACTGCTATGTACTCTAAATTTATTGAAGTGTTCACTTCTCCTTCTTTATGCAAGATTGTGCTGGATTAGACATGTTTGCAATTACTTTGTTTATCAACAGGCAACATTATCAAGTTCAGGTCAGGTAATCTGACACACATCAAATCCAATATGCCACTTAAAATGCTCGTTACTAACACTAATGTTGGGAGAAACACAAAGGCATTTGTTGCCAGTGTTTCAGAGAGGACCTTGAGGCACCCTGATGCCATGAGTTCTGTGTTTACTGCTGTTGACTCTATTAGCAAGGAGTTGTCTTCCCTTATCGAGTCACCTACTCCTGATGACCTCTCCATGACTGAGAAGGAAGAGAGGTTACAAGAGTTGATGGAAATGAATCAAGGTTTGCTCCAATGTATGGGGGTCAGCCATGCTTCTATAGAAACTGTTCTTCATACAACATTGAAGTACAAATTACCTTCCAAGTTGACTGGAGCTGGGGGTGGGGGCTGTGTGCTTACACTGCTGCCAGCATGTATCCTCTTTTATATTTGGTTTGAACTTATTTACATCATACTTGTGTGATATTCTCCTGATTCTTTTTTTTTTTTTTCCTTTTCTTTTTGGCCAACAGTTTCTCGTCTCTTTCTTTTATGATGATAGGCATGATAGCATGTTTGACAACATTAATTTCTTACTACATGTGCAAACCTTTCTTTTCCTTTTTCTGTCCCTGAGTCACATACATTCTGTGTATGCATTTAGATCAATTTTTAATGCCTAGAAATACTTGTTTGACATAGTTTCTTCATATGATCTTCTTGTTTTCATGTATTTTATTATCCTTGGCCTCAACTATTTTTTGTTGCTTTCAATATCCACTAATGCAGCTTCCATTGGCCAGTTCTGTGCCAACTGGAAACTTTTAACTTCATTTGAGATTTCAAATGGATTTTTATTGGGGCAAAAAGAAAATGACTTTGAATTTCTTTGATTTTCTGTGAGCACATAGAGATAAATCTGGGATGAGATATGATTGTCGATATATATGTGATGAAGATGAGTTTAGGGATGTGAATTTGCTTTATGTTGGCAATGTGTGGATAACGTCGAACCTCATTCTATTTCATGTTGCAAGTTTGAACCAAGATTTTGTCATATGTAACAATATATATGTTCTTCATTGTAATATTATACTTACGTTACCTTGACCACATTAATCAGTGTTATCAGGCACAATTGTTGATAAAGTAACAACAGAGTTGGAGTCATGCGGATTCCAGTGTTTGGTTGCAGGAATCGGTGGAAAAGGTGTTGAGATTTGCTTTGGTGAGTCTTCCTGATTTCTGGAAGCAGCATGGATCACAGAAATATCTAATTGTTGTCATCAAATAATCACATGATAACGTAAGATCTAAGTTTGTAACCTTTTTTGTTCTTCCAGGCTTGATTTGTAGATTAGGCTGGCTGTTTTATTTTCTGATCTTTTTTTCCTTTTAATTTTTGAGATCGATTCTGCTTCCCTTGTATCACTTTCCAAGGAATATTTATCGTCTCTCTACATGAATAATTCAAAAACAGCTGTAAAATTTTGCATGAATAATATATCAGAAGATGCATTTGAATTCTTGTATAAAAAATTTTCTTCCTTGGCTGAGATATGCAAGTGATAACACTATTGTTAAGATATATTAGGAAAATAGAGATATCATTTCCAAGATTGACTGTTAATATATATTAGGAAAATAGAGATAGTATTTCGTAGATTGATTTGTGTAAATATGGTAGACTAATATTGTGTGTATATCATTGATTATTTAGGATCAATTCTTTCCTAATTCATGTAACTTGTGCATTGTATAAATTCCCATCTTGCTTAGGGAAATAATCAAGCAACATATTTCACAAACACTGTTGTTTCATGGTATTAGAGCCAGGTTGGTTCTTAGCCTTTCTTCTTCTTCTAAATCCATCTATTTTAGAAACCCTAAAACATATCTTTAAAGGAGGCACTCCTCTTTGCTTTTGGTGAGTTTATTTCTCGATTCTCCTGGTTCGTCGGCATCTTTTGGTTCTTCTCAAGTGATTGGTTTCCTCTAGTTCTTCCTTCTTGTTGGTGATTCAACTCTAACAGAGAGTTGTTCTACCGTTTTGGATTTATCTCTCACTTCTCTTGATTACAATGGCAGAAGCATCAAAATCAGCAAGGATAGAGTGGTTCTCGAAAGGGAAAAGGAAAGGGATCTAGACCACATTGCACCTATTGTGACAAGAATGGCCACAACCGAGACACTTGTTGGGCTTTACATAGGAGGCCACTACGTCAATCTTCTAATCGATCCACCGCTCATATGGCTCAAGCAACCTGAGATGGACTCCTTCCCTTACCCGATGCTAAAGACCAACAACCCAACTCCATTACATTGTCTGGGGCTAATTACAATAAGTATCTTCAATATCAAGTTGTCAAGCAGCAGTCATCCTCATCTGGCGCCTCCCAAACTGGTAATTCCTTTGCCTATCTGAGCAGGACCTCTTCCATTGGCCCATGGATTTTGGATTCCGGAGCACTTGACCACATTTCTGCTAATAAAAATCTTTTATCTCAAATTACCTCTTCTCCCACTTTATCAAAAATTACTCTTGCTAATGGTTCGCAGATTATGGTCAAAGGGATAGGAGAAGCTCGACCACTCCCTTCCATTTCTTTAAACTCAATCTTATTCGCCCCTGAATGTCCATATAATCTGATTTCTATTAGTAAGTTAACAAATTATCTTAACTGTTCTGTCACCTCTTTTGCTGACTCTATTGTGGCGTAGGATCGGAACACTGGTCAGACGATTGGAACAGGACATGAATCACATGGACTGTACCACCTCTCCGATCCAAATCTGCCAGTTGCCTTTACCTTCATTGCATCTACCAACATTCTTCATAGTTGCCATGGTCATCCAAGTCTTGCCAAATTTCATAAATTAGTACCTAGTCTGTCTACATTATCTTCTTTTAAATGTGAGTCATGTCAACTTGGAAAACAAACTAGAGCTTCCTTTCCCAAGCGAGTCAATAATAGGGCCATCTCAATGTTTGATATTGTTCACACAGACATAGAAGGTCCTAGTGGTGTCAGTTCAACTTTGGGTTTCTATTCTTTTGTTACTTTTATAGATGACTATTCTCGTAATACTTGGGCATTTTTAATGAAAACTCATTTTGAGTTATTTTCTATCTTTCAGAATTTTTGTGCTGAGATTCGTAATCAATTTGGTGTTTCTATTAAGATTTTGCGTAGTGATAATGCTACGGAATATCTATCTTCTCCCTTTACTAAGTATATGTCTTCTTAGGGTATTATTCACCAGACCTCATGTGCCTATACTCCTCAGCAGAATAGGGTCGCCGAACGCAAAAATCGTCATCTTATTGAAACTGCCCGTACCTTACTTATACGTCATCATGTTCCTCTTCGATTTTGGGGGGATGCAGTTCTCACTGCCTGTTACTTGATTAACCGTATGCCTTCTTCTGTCTTGTAACATAAGAGTCCTCACTCTATTATGTTTCCTGGTAAATACCCATACCCAATACATTTACGGGTGTTTGGTTGCATTTGCTTTGTTCATGATCACATTCCAGGCAAAGACAAATTACAGCCTAAATCCGTTAAGTGTATCTTCTTAGGATATTCTCATCTCCAGAAAGGTTACCGTTGCTATGACCCAACCACCAACAAATATTTTGTTTCTGCAGATGTAACTTTCTTTGAGACATCTCCATACTTTTCTGAAAACACCGTCAATAGTAATCTTATTCCTGCCACCTTATCTATCCCCATCCCTCTTTCCTCGTCATCCTCATCTCCATGTTTATTCTCGTCATCCTCGTCCTCCTACTAATCCCAATGGTACTTTCCTTCTTGATACATGTACCTCGGTCAATCATGATGACCCATCTCTTGTTCCTCTGTCGCCTGCTCCGGTCATGTCTCTTGTAGATGAGGCAATTCCTTCACTTGCCCTTCGCAAAGGTATTCGATCTTCTCGAAACCCACATCCTATTTATAATTTTTTTAGTTATGATCGTTTATCTCCATTTTATTCTGCCTTTATTTCAAACTCGTCTTCTATCCCTATACCTAACACTGTTAGCGAGGCAATGGCACATCCAAGGTGAAGAGCTATCATAATTGAGTAGATGATTGCTCTTGATCATAATGGTACTTGGGAGTTGGTTTCCTTACCGCCAGGCAAGACTGTTGTTGGGTGTTGTTGGGTTTACACTGTTAAGATTGGTCCTGATGGCAAAGTTGATCGGCTGAAGGCTCGTCTTGCTGCAAAAGGGTACACTCAGATCTATGGGCTCGACTACAGTGATACCTTCTCTCATGTTGCTAAGATTACTTCGGTATGCCTCCTTCTCTCTTTAGCGGCCATGTATCAATGGCCTCTTCATCAATTGGATATTAAAAATGCCTTCTTGCATGGTAAACTTGTCGAGGAAGTGTATATGGAGCAACCGCCAGGGTTTGTCGCTCAGGGGGAGTCAAGATTGGTGTGGCGTCTACGCCAGTCTTTATATGGTCTCAAGCCGTCACCTAAAGCATGGTTTGGATGGTTTAATTATGTGATTCAACAGTTTGGGATGTTGCGAAGTACAGCTGATCATTCATTATTTTTCTACCGTAATGATCATGGTAAATTTATATACTTTGTTGTCTATGTTGATGACATTGTCATAACAGGTAATGACCAGGATAGGATTTCTCAACTAAAGCAGCATCTGTTTAGCCACTTTCAAACCAAGGACTTGGGGAAGCCAAAGTATTTTCTGGGGATTGAGGTAACATAGTCTAAGGCTGGTATTGCTATATCACAAAAGAAGTATGCCTTAGACATTCTTGAGGAGACAGGTATGTTAGACTGTAAGCCTGTAGATTCTCCTATGGATCCTAATGTCAAACTTGTTCCTGGACAGGGGGAGCCATTAAAAGACCCTGGAAGGTATCGAAGATTAGTTGGTAAGCTGAATTATCTCACGATCACCAGACCAGATATCTCCTTTGCAGTTAGTGTAGTTAGCCAATTTCTCCAGGCCCCATGTAGTGGTCATTGGGACGTAGTAGTTCACATTCTCAAGTATATTAAAGGAGCTCCAGGATAAGGCTTGCTATATGAAAATATGGGTCATTCTCAAATTATTGGGTATTCTGATGCTGATTGGGCAGGGTCTCCATCGGATATACGATCTACTTCTGGATATTGTATCATGATTGTAGGTAATCTAATATCTTGGAAGAGTAAGAAGCAAGATGTAGCAGCTAGATCAAGTGCAGAGGCAGAATATCGGGCTATGGCTCTTGCGACTTGTGAGCTCATCTGGTTGAAACAACTTCTTCAAGAATTGGGGTGTAGTAAAGTGCAGCAGATGAAACTAATATGCGACAATCAAGCTGCTCTGCATATTGCCTCAAATCTAGTCTTTCACGAAAGAACAAAGCATATAGAGGTTGATTGTCATTTTATCCGATAGAAGATTGAATCCGGATGCACTGTCACCAGTTTTGTCAACTCAAATGACCAGCTAGCAAATGTTCTTACTAAGTCTCTCAGAGGTTCCCAAATCGGATACATTTGTAACAAGCTTGGAACATATGACATATATGCTCCAGCTTGAGGGGAAGTGTTAAGATATATTAGGAAAATAGAAATATTATTTCCTAGATTGACTGTTAAGATATATTAGGAAAATATATATAGAATTTCCTAGATTAATTTGTGTAAATATGGTAGACTAATATTACGTATATATCCTTGATTATTTAGGATCAATTCTTTCCTAATTCATGTAACTTGTACATTATATAAATTTCCATCTTGCTTGGGGAAATAATCAAGCAACATATTTCACAAACACTGTTGTTTCAACTATCAATATTCAGATTGGTGCATGCTTTACAGACATTGTTTCCTAATAAAAATCCAGAGAGAATATAGTAGTACTGTTGATAGCTCTTACATTTTGCACCAGGTTGATAGTTGAGACTTGAGAGATATTATTGGGGGACATGGGAATTGACTTGATAGATTCTTACTAATAAATGTTCTCTTTATAAATCTAGATATCATTTTCCTATATTTTGGCCTTTTTTTTTTTAGTGTTCAGGTCAGCTTACGCGCACCTCAACTAATCTCTTAGGACCCTGAAGTGAACAGTAGAATAAATTTCCTCAGTGGTCACCCCTAAGGGGATTTACTTGGCCGTTCACTTCAAGGCTACGAAAGATTAGTTGAGGTGCACGCAAACTAGTCTGGGAGTTTGCCCTAACACCTTAGTTAAAAAAAAAAAAAAAGCTAGAATGTAAACCTTTTGCTTCACATTCTTCTTGACATCGCTAATTGACCATGTATCAGTTTGTTTTGACTTACACAGTTCACTTACTATTGTTGATGCAAAAATACACTAACTAGAGTGATTTGATCGACGTTGTTGGGACCAGAACTGATGTGTGCGCGATTATGGGTAACCAGCAGTGAATAAATAATAAATGCAATAAAGTAAATGACAAAGAGGTTTTTAAAGTGGTTTGGCGAGTTGAACTCTTGAGCCTACATCCACTGTTTTT